GCTGCAGTAATACCAGCAGCAGCAGCAGAAGCTGTTGCTGCTGCTGCTGCAAGAAGTACAGAGCCAGCAGCAGCAGCAGCAACAGCAGCAGCAGCACAACACGGGATGAGGCCCAAGTAAAGATGAGTGTCTCAGCAACCGCAGCTGCGGTTGCTGCTGCTGCTGCTGCAGCAGCTGCTGCTGCTGCGCGGCCTGCCACTTCAATGGCAGCAGCAGCAGCAGCAGCAGCAGCAGCAACAGCAACAGCAACAGGAGCAGCAGCAAGACCCGCAGCAGCAACACAGCGTGCTGCTTATCTCCCTCGTCGCGCCGCCGGCAGCAGAGTTCCTGCTGCTGCACCAGCACCAGCAGCAACAGCAGCAGCAGCAGCAGCAGCAGCAGCAGCAGCAGCAGATGAAGACGGGGGCATGCAGCAGCAGGGGCCCTCTCTTGCTGTTGCTTTAGCTCGCATATCCAAGGCATACCGCCGGCAGCAGCAGCAGCAGCGGCAGCCGCAGCAGCAGCTGCTGCAGCAGCTGCATGCGCTTTTTGCTGCAGCAGCAGCAAAGGCAACCATGGCCGAGTGGAGACTGCAGCAGCAGCAGCAGGAAACACTCAAGCAGCAGCAGCAGCAGCAGCAGCAGAAGCAACAGCTGCAGCTGCAGCAGCAGCAGCAGCAGCACGTATCTGTGCCAGGGCCGTTGTTTTGCTGCTTAACTTTGCATGCATGTGCTTCTTTCCGCTCCCCTAGGCAGCAGCAACAGCAGCAGCAGCAGCAGCAGCAGCAGCAGCAGTGGCCGACTGCATCTGCCCTAGAAGATGTTGCAGCGGCTGTCTCGCGTGTCTTGTCGAACAGCAGCAGCAGCAGCAGCAGCAGAAGCAGCAGCAGCAGCAGCAGCAGCAGCAGGTCAGCAGCAGCAGAAGAGCAGCAGCTGTTTGAGGTGTATAGGCAGCTCCCCACGCAGCTGCTGCGGGCCCACCTTCTCGGTGTCTGCATGCGTATGATGGGGCTGCAGCTGAGTTGCTGCAGCAGCAAACAAGCAGCAACTGCTGCTGCTGCTTGTCTGCTGCTGCTGCAGCAGCTGCCTGCATTACCCCCAACAGCACTGCAGCAGCAGCTGCTGCTAAAGGATATACAGAGGTGGCAGCAGCAGCAGCAGCAGCAGCAGCAACAGACTGATGCTGCTGCTGTGTGGGAGCCTTCGGAGCATGGCTCTGATGCAGCAGCAGCAGCAGCAGCAGCAGCAGCAGCAACAGCAGCAGCAACAGCAGCAGCATCCACAGGAGCAGCAACGCGGCGGTCCTCTTACCAGCCGGTGTTCAGCAGCAAGACAGATGCGTCAGCAGCAGCAGCACTTCTGCTGCTTGCTGCTGCGCTGCAGCGCGCACATGTGCTGCTGCTNTGCTGCTGCTGGTTTTGAGGCTGCTTCCGCAGCAGCAGCAGCAAGAGCAGCAGCAGCAACAACTGCTGCTGCTGCTGCTGCAGCAAGAACAGCAGCAATGCAGCTGCTGCAGTGTTCTGGGGTGCATGCTGTCTTGCTGCAGCACAGGGAGACATCCAAGGGGCTCGATCTGCTGCTGCTGCTGCGTGCTGCAGCAGCAGGAGCAGCAGCAGCAGCCCCCTTCCCCGCTGAGGTAAGGCTTTGCTGCTGCCTTCTCTGCTGGTGCTGTTGCCGCTGCTGCTGCTGCTGCTGCTGCTGCTGCTTCTGCTGCTATCTGCATGCGCTGCTCAACTGTTCCTGCTGCAGCTGCTGCTGATTCCTTGTTGCTGCTGCTGCTGCTGCTGCTGCTGCTGTTGTCCTCAGCTGCTGCAGTCGATGCCAGGCTTGATGCTGCAGCACTTGGAGTTTATGAGCCCGCAGCAGCAGCTGCTGCTGCTGCAGCAGCTGAAGAGCTCGCGCCTCGGCAGGCCTGCTGCTTCTGCTGCAGCAGCAGCAGCAGCAGCAGAAGTAGCAGCAGCAGACGAGGTCCAGTGGTCTGAGGTGGCTGTTGAGTTGGCTCCTCATGTGCTGCGGCTGCTGCGAAGCGGCTGCTGCAGCAGCAGCGATGCAGCAGCAGCATGCTGGCTATATGCTTCGTACGTTGCTGCTGCTGCATTGGTGTTGCTGCTGCTGCCTTTGTTTTGCTGCTGCTGCTGCTTTTGTGTTGCTGCTGCTGCCCTTGTGTTGCTGCTGCGGCCTCTGTGTTGCTGCTGCTGCCTTTGTGTTGCTGCCACTCGCTATCTGCGCACGCTGCTGCTGCTTTTGCTGCTGCTGCTGCTGCTTTTGCTGCTGCTGGTGCTGCTGCTGATGCGGCTGTTGCTGCTGCTGCTGCGCTGCTGCTGCACAGGGAGGACCTGCAGAACCCTGAAATCCCAGCAGCAGCAATTGTTGCTGCTGTTGCTGATCAGCTGCCCGCGCTGCTGCAGCAATCCAACACGAACAGCAGCAGCAGCAGCAGCAGCAGCAGCAACAGAAGCAGCAGCAGCAGCAGAAGCAGCAGCAGCAGGCTATCCGACTTGCTGCTGCTGCTGCAGACACTCGTTACCTGGAGAACCCCGCAGCCAGCTGTGTGGGGGCCGCCTTTGCTGCACAGCTTAGCAGCAGCAGCAGCAGCAGCAGCAGATGCAGATGCAGCAGCAGCAGCAGCAGCAGATGCAGCAGCACGGCCTGCTGCGCTGTCTATGCCGCAGCTGGCAGCAGCAGCAGGTGCTTTGGTGCAGCTGCAGCTGCTGCTGCTGAAGGACTTCTCCCTCAACCAAGTGCTAGCTGCTGAGAATACAGGCAGCGCTGCTGCTGCTGCTGCTGCTGCTGCAGCTGCTGCTGC